TAGGGGCCGTATTATAATGGGGATCCAAAAAGGGCCCATAATTTTGACAACTACCCATATCTGTTTTCGGGGCTCTGCTGCACCAGCCAAAGGATCCTGAACCTGAAGCCCTAAATTCCGCAACTAAAAACACCTAAGCCCAAGACCCTGAACCCTAAGCTATAAACCCAGGGCGTCAACGTTTAACCCGAAACCCTACATCCTGAACCCCAAAACCCCCAACCACTGAAGCCAAAGCCTTGCAGGCCATAAGAGAGACCTGCTCGAGGGGCCAACCGGCCGCCTCGAAACTTGTCCCATGGCTGAGCATTTGAGAGAACAGTGTTCTAGAGCTTTGCTAGGAATGCGTTTGGATTTAGGGTTCAAGGTTGGGGTGGGTTTTAGTAAGGGCTGAGGTGTGTGGCTCTGGAGTGTAGAGCTTAAGTGTGTGTGGGATGTGGGTTATCAGGCTCAGTTTTGGTGCTTTGGTGCGCAAGGCTCTTCTCTGGGTAGATTGTTCATATGGGTCGCGGTGATTTTCAAAATTACCGTTTACATCATTTAGACTACCTGGTAGTTGTTGCGCAAGAATCCCTGATACCGATAGTGGACGTCCTAAACTATAGGGCTAGCACATTTAAGCTAATCACCCAACACGTGGAAATCGAGAGGGGCGCCCGAGTTCACAAACGCATAGAGGCCAATCAAGTAAATTTGACGACACCTCATCCCTAAACCCTCAATCCTAAATTCTACACACGTTCTGAATTCCGTAGGTTTAGGTTTAGATTCCTTCTACTCAAGTTACAAAAGAACGGTTTGAGTTGCAACCGCCACGATATCAGGGACGTCTTGGGGCCCTTAATGTTTCGTGTGCTACACAAAGCCCTACATCCTAAACCTTAACCGGGATTGGTTAGGAGGACCCCCACCCTGTAATAGTGGTATAATAGGAATATAAGAGGACCCTAGTATAATCCTTAATATTCGCTATGGTTACTATTACCCCTAAACCCTAAACCCTAAATCCCTAAATCCCTAATCCCTATTATTCCCTATAGTCACTATTACTGGGTGGGGGGTCCACCCAAGGGATTGGGCAGAAGGAAGGCGGCTCTTACCATGCCATCTTTTCCCTGAACGGCAGGGAGGTGAACCTTGAACCGGCATATCAGCTACAGTAAGGCTCCTGAAAGGTGGAGGGTAGATATAGGGATTACAAAGGGGGAATTATAGGGTTTGCAAAGGAGATACTACGAGTTTAGACCTAGCTCATATCGTCCGCGAAACCTAGACCCTCCAATGACCTTCTGTTGTGGCCTTGCTATAGCCCCAATTACCGGGACTCTTGTTGTGTACTCCGCGGCGCTGCTGAGGGCACTGAGAGAAACAGCCTGCTGTGTTGATTTGTTTGAGCGAGCTCGTAAAGACTTGTTGTGGGAACTTGATTGACGTTAAACGTTGCTCAAGCTCTAGAGTCTGGTAGAGCTGCCATGAAGGTTGAGGCCTTTCTGACTGCCTTGGCTTTTCGGATTATCGAAGTGGGAGTCCAGAGGCCAAGAGTACTGAGTGATCCTGTTGAAATCAGCTGTGCTTGCGAGTGCGTGTGCGATCGACCCATTTATTGGATATTGGCTGGCACTCTGGCGCTAAGCTTGACAGGGAACCTTGCTCAGTTCTGTTTGCGAAGGGCCGTGTCGACACCTCCTGATGGCAGCCCTGCTAGGCGCACCCGAGGAGTTACAATCATGCCTGCCCGGCGACCGCCTGCTTGACTGGTATGAGGGGGAGGATAAATGGCACGAAGGGAAAAGGCGAGCACGGATGGTATGTGCTCACTCCTGACTATGATCTATATGAGCAAAGCTACTCCTTGACTGGTGAAGACGGGCCGGTTCGATTCAAGGTGAAGGGTCGCCATTTTACGTATTATTCGAGGGTCAATGCCCCCGTTTACAAGTTTGCAGCGGATCCTGGCGATGCCGATATGAGGGGATACATCGAAACGGCGCTTGACGAGTTGGGGCTGGAGACGGTCCCTCCCGACAGCTGGCGCCCTGCTGAGGTAAAAGTGGCCAGGCACAAGGTTTCTACTTCATCTCTTCTGGGTCGGCGGTTTGTGCCTCGCAGGATTACAAAAGGCCGGGGGCTGCTGGAAGATCCCGTGCCGGAGCCTGATCTGGACCCTCTAGGATTGACGCCAGCCCTGCGAGGGCAGCTTCAAGGACTGTCTCTGCCGCCTACCGGCTTCATGTGGGCTGCTCTGTTGCCTGGTCTGCCTGGGCAGCCTAGACAAGCTGTGGAAGTGGCTGCGGTGGAGGGTAAAGGTGTCCAGTTTGGGGAACACTTAGGCATGATTCATCATGACACTCTTGGTTGGGTTCCCGTTCACATGGTCAGAGTCAAGGATGCCCCCGAGCTCTTCCGTGATCACCTTGGGCAAGGAGCCTCGGCACAAGCGATGGACGGACTTTGGGCAACAGAGTCCGGGGCCCGGGGGTCGGACGAAGCTACCCCATCAGCAGAGGCCGAAGCTTTGGATGCCAGGGTACTGGAAGTGGACTACAACGCGGCGGGTGAGCGATACAAAGATTGGAAGCAGTTAGTCTTGGAAGCAAAGGACTACTCATTCAGCGACTGGCCTCTCGAGGGGCCTCTTTCTACAGCTCATCTCCTCCGCCACTTCGGGAAGTTCGGTGGGGATCCTAAACGTTGGCTGTCGGAATGGATGAGGGTGCGTCAGGTGAGTGACTCAGATCGTGTTGCTTTCGAGATGCGCACCTTGATCGACTGTTTGTTCACGGCAGGCAGCTACGACCAACTCAACGTCCCATCCCTGGCCTGCATGGAAATCATTTCTAGGCGTGTCCAGGGGATAGTGGATGCTTACTCAGCTGGATCTCCAGGAAATCCGGACTGGTCTAACACCCGGGTGATCACCGGGTACAAGGGGGCAGAGGACGCTATCTCGCCGGCGCTCCGCACATGGGCGGCCCGGCGGAGTAAGGAGGAAGTGGACCTTGCAGTCTCTCGTGCGCGTGTCAGAGATCATCGGCGGGGGCTGCAGATTCCAACCGTGGTGGAGGAAGCATCCGCCAATGCAGTGGCAGACGGGGTTCTGCCCAATGCGGGGCAGAAAGCCAAGGCAAAGCCTGGAAAGGGGCGCGGCCGAGGGCTCACTGCCCCAGATGGCCAATGATAATGGAGGCGCGAGCGGGGCGCCCGGGACCGCTCGCCACGGCTACCAGTCCGTGCATGCACGTCCTGCTTTTGCACTTGGCAATCGTGACTTGTTCCCCTTGCCCATGCCACCTGTTGTCGAGCAGAGCAAGAAGCTTAGCAGGAGGGTTGGTCAGAGGGTTGCACGTGCAAAGCAGAAGAGCCAGAGGTGTGCTGAAGCGATTGAGGCATTGAACTGGTTATCGGGTACAAAGAGCTTTTCGAATTCACAATTTCCTCCAGACGATCTGCAACTTGAGGTTCTGAATCGTGTTAATTATCTTGCTGGGCTTTGTCAAGACAAAGGTAGTCTCGACAGGATCCCAACTCCGGAGGCAGCCCTTTCGGCGTTGCTCCGTGGCAGATCTGAGTATGGCTCCGACCTGCCGACTGCATTGGCGACCTGCTCCCTCGAGCGCATTTCTTTGCCAGACGATGTGTCGAACGCTCCCAATGTGGAGAGCCTTCTGGACAAGGATGCCCGTCGATTTTTGCAGTGTCCAGAGCAGATGCTGAAGCCTGACGCTAAAGGCGACCCGGACTTTCAGCCTTACTGGGATCCCCTACTCAAAAGGGATAATAGTCTTTACAAACGCTTTATCTTGAAGCTGGATAAAGCAGGGTTCTTGGTTTACACCAACACACCCAAGAGTCACTGTGGAGTGTTCTTTGTCAAGAAGAGCGACGGCCAGCGTATTCGCATGATAATCGACTCTCGAGGTACCAACATGATGTTCAACTCCCCTCCTGGCGTGGAATTGCTGACTTCGGACGGGTTTGCTAGAATTGAGCTTGTGCCACCTGATCATCTAGAGCCCGGCTCGCAGGAGTTCGAAAGCTTCATGAATGACCAGAAGGTGGGCATTGGGTTGTCGGATGTAAAGGACTGCTTCCATCGCTTACGTCAGCCCTTCTGGTTGGCTGAATATTTCTGCCTTGATCCAATTCCAGCAGAGTGGGTGAACTTGGTTGGTTCGGTCATCAACGGTTCGAAGATTGCTGCCGGTGACCTTGTGTGGCCTGCTCCAGGATCCTTATGCATGGGGTTCACCTGGTCCCTCTACTTTGCGCAGCGCGTGTCGGAGCGCTTAATGGCTATGGTTCCTTGCCTGGCCGCCTCACGTCTTGTGAACGACAGGAGCGGCTCCATCGTGCTGAACCAGAGGGACAATGAAGAAGGCAAGACCAATTTGCACCACTATGTTTATGTGGACAATCTTGGCTTGCTCAGCACAGACCTTAAGACAGCAGAAACTGGTATCCGGGAGGTCGAGCAAGTCTTCACGGAGCACCAGCTGATTTTGCATGCAGGCACTGTCTCGGGGGGTTCAACTCGTGCGCTTGGTTGCGACCTCAGGGCGGATCTCCTTGCCTCCCGGGTCACTCCAGAGAGATATCACAATCTCCGGCAGGCCCTTGAAGGACTTCTTCGTAGACGGCGAGTTTCAGGCCGCCTCCTGGAGGTCGTGATCGGGCATGCCACATTTGTTGGACTTATGTGCAGGCCTACCCTGAGCGTCTTCAACACTGTCTATCGTTTCATCCAGGCCAACTACTCGAAACCTGCAGCGCTTTGGGAAACAGCTAGACAGGAGCTTGCAACCTTCCGAGGACTGATGATCTTCCTACATGCTGACTGGTGCAGAGGCTGGAACAATTATGTTGTTGCCACCGATGCTTCACTTACGGGCTATGGGGTCGTTTCATCATTCTGGAAGGAGGGCGATGTGCCACCGTTGGCCGGGAGCTCGAGCGTGGGCGCTTCAGAAAGTTGGGTTCCCACTCAGCGAGGGAGACGGCTCTGACGGCGGCTGGCTTTGTCCGTGACTCAGTGACTGATGAGTGGAAGGCCGGCTGGCTCACCTCAGATGAGTACCTGGCCAGGAGTGGCTGGGGTATCAATCATGACTTTCTTGAAGTACCTGGCCGGTTACTAAGTTCGAAAGATTGGAGCCCATGTATGTGGGGCAAATGGCAATATCCTGCTGGCATCCTGGAACTGGAGGCGAGAGCCTTGGTGAAAGGACTGCGACGTGTGGCCCTGAGTCACTTCGGTCACGACATGAGGCAGCTTATTTTGACCGACAACATGAGCGTATGTTTGGCCTTTGATAGATCTCGGGCTCGCAGTTACGCCCTCCTGGTACAGATTAGAAAGTTCAGTGCCTACCTTTTGGCCAGAAACCTTTCATGCGCTGTGCGTTGGGTGCCTTCGGAGTTGAACAACGCCGACCGTCCAAGCCGTTTGGACACTGAAGAGGACAGCAAACTTCTCACAGATGTCCTCCCCTCCATCAAAAGCCAGGAGGGAAAAAATCCTGAGGCCTCCAGTGGTTGTTCAGCCGAAGCCCACCGCCAGGTCGAGCAGGCTGTTGATTCCCAAGACCGGAAAGCAAGGCCCATCCCGGCTGACGGAGCCAAAGTTCGAGAACCTAGAGCAGTCCCTTTCGACACCACGTGCCAAAGGCAACTTCGACTTGGGGACTGTGAGTTTGGAGACACCAGGGCGAGCAAGCAAGCGTGCGCGAGTGGAAGAGGACAGCCAGACCAGTTCAACCAGCGACACCGTGACCGAGAAGCAAGGTGGTGCCAGAAAGAAGAAACTGGAGAGGCGTGCGCGGAGGAGAGCCCGGACCTCGTGGACCAGCGCTCTCGCGGACGAGGGCATGACCTTCTTGGAGTCGAGCGCAGTGGCAGCGACTACGTCAAAACAGTACAAGGAGGAGGTTGGACAAGTTTTTCCGCTTTGGAAGACCGCGTGGCCTCGACCTTGGCGACGCTGCTCAGACCGACGTCCTCCTCCTGGACTACCTGAACCTCCTCTACAAGGAAGGGCACCAGAGCTACAAGGCAGAGAGGCTCATGGCCTCTTTGCTGCGCAGCCGGCCAGACTACGGGCGCCTGGGCACGAAGAAACTGACCCGTTCGTGGCGAGCACTGAAGGGTTTCCGGCGCCTCACACCCGGCAGAACCCGGAAGGCGTTTCCTCTGGCTGTTTGGGCAGCCTTTGCAGTGGAGATGCGGCGTCTGGGACGACTTCGCATGGCCCTTTTCTTGCTCACTGCGGCTACTCCAGGCCATCAGAGTTGCTGAGGGCCAGAGCTTGCAGCCTTGTTCGGCCAGTGGATGGGGTCACCAGGGCGTGGACCCTGTTGCTCTCGCCGGAAGAGGAGAGGGTCACTTCGAAAACTGGGGACTTCGACATCTCCATTGCCCTCGACAGCCCTTGGGTGCTGCCTTGGAGCGACAAACTGTTCTGCTTGCTGAAGTCCTGCCACCCGATGACCCCACTCTGGGACTTCGACTACCGGGAGTACTCAGAGGTCTTCAAACAGGTGGCGAACCAGCTGGGGGTGGAGGCCACTCCATACCACACGCGTCACAGCGGGCCATCAATCGACAGAGCACGAGAATACCGCACACTCCTGGACGTGCAGAAGCGAGGCCAGTGGAATTCACACAAAAGCGTAGTTCGCTACGAGAAAAGTGCCCGGCTGGCCAAGAGCTGGGAGTCCCTGCAGGACGACTTTCGAGCACACGGGGAGTGGTGCGAGCAAAACCTTGGGGCAATCCTGCTCGGGCACAAGGAGGCCAGAGGTTTTGTCGCAACCGGGACCTGGGCAAGAGGTACGTGATGGACCTTTTTTCCGGGGATGGTGGTGTCTCTCGAGCCGTTGAAGCCATGGGCTTTCGCGCAAAGTTTTGGGACATCAAGCACGGCCTCTCACATGATCTTACGTGCAAGGCGGTTGTTGATCGCATCATTGGTGAGATCAAGAGGGGTAGGGTGTTGGCGTGCATGATGGCCCCCGTCTGTACGAGCTTCAGTGTGGCTAGGGACCGGACAAAAGTCATCCGTAGCCGCCGTTATCCCTGGGGCATACCTTTCTGTCAACTCAGTGACAAAGAAAAGGCAAGCATCCGCCTTGGCAACGCTTGTTTCCGTAGTTGCCTGCGCATCATGAAGGTCCTTGACAAGTTCAAAGTGCCATACGTGCTTGAAAATCCGCATAGCTCTAAGGCCTGGTTTTTGCCTCCTCTTCGGCAACAGCTGGCACAGCAGTGGACTCAGTACACCGGGGCAGACTTTTGTTGCTTTGGAGTACCTTGGCGTAAGAGGACTGGTTTCATGAGCGCTCACATTCCTGGTGACGACTTGCTGCGTCTTTCAAAGGTGTGCTCCTCAGTTCAGGGACTCTGCGACTCCACACACAAGAAGCACGTGCAGTTGACAGGGAGCCGTCATGGAATTCCTATGACCAAATGGGCTGAGCCGTACCCAAAACGACTTTGCAGAGCCTTGGCTTACGCCTTGACTGCCCAGCATCACACCAGTCTCGCTGCTTTCTTTCAGTAGCACTTTTTGTGTTTTATTTCAGTTGCCCTCCCTGCCCGGCCCCGTAAACTTCGTGTTCGGGCTCAGATTTGGGGTAGTTATCTGGAGCGGTGCATAAACTGTGCATCGCTGCTTGGGGGTTCCAGGGCTTGAGGCCCTACCACCAGCATGCAATGACTATGCCAATACAGCTCGAGACATAGCCGCAAAAAGTGGACACAGAGAGTCTGTTCATTGTTCTGAGATGTGCATCTTCAAAGACATCTGAGGCGTCATCACATCCATCAGTACGAATTGACCTGTGTGACCTTCAGCTCTATCAGCCCTATGCAAAACACAAAGGCCTCGGCAATTGAAACTTTTCTGGCCGTACCACCAAGAACAACTGCTTCGCTGAGATGTCTCCAGAATTCACAGAGTTAATTCCTTGTCTTCCTTAATAAACCCTGTAGCTGAACATGCAGCCTAAAATCCGCCGCTAGCACATGAGGCTTGTGCAGCGTTCGGGCGTGGACCAGGTGCCTTTATGTGCCTTGGACCCCGCACTTGCGTGTGTATAGCGCGCCATGAGAGGATATGGGCTCAAGACTGGGTTGCTGTTAAGGAACTTAAATTAAGTTACTATATTGGGGAAACCCTATTTACTATATATATATATACCCATTATGGTAACTTCGTTTAAGTTCCTTAACAGCAAGCCAGAAGATTGTAATGTTGGGGTTCAAGGTTTGTAGAGATTTTATCGGCTTTGGTTGTACCCACAGTCGAGATTTCCCTGGACGAAGGGCAGTTCTACCCTTTCTTGACAAGGTTCTGTAGAACATGAGAGGGGATGGCTTTGGGTTTAGGATTTGGGGTTTGAGGCTTCAACTTGCTCATGCTGACCCTCAGGAAGTAGCATACATGAGAAGAGAGAGTGTGACGGGGTGAGACCTGTCCCTCGAAGACCCTCCCAGGCAGTTAGCTCCGTGTGAGGTTTCTGAAGTAGTTTCGTCAGTATGTTCCATTCCTAGGCTCAAAACCCTAACCCTAAGCCGAAACCCTACACCCGAACCCCTAACCCTAAAGCCTGAACCCCAAAACCCTAAACCCTAAAACACTAAACCCTTAACCCTAAACCCTGAACCTTAAACGCCTAAACCTTAAGTCGTAAACCCTAAGCCCTAAAGCCTACACCCTAACACCCTAAACCCCATTAGAATGTCACGAACGGCAACAACATTCCAGGGTTCACGCAGCGTTGTTCTATATTGGGGTCATATTGGGATAATGGAAGAGAAAATGAAAGGTACTGTCATGGGGTTATATAGATTTTAGGGTTTAGGGTTCAGAGTTTAGAGTTCAGGGTTTAGGCCTTAGGAATCAGGGTTTACGGCTTAATTAGGGTTCAGGGTCTAGGGTTTAGGGTTTAGGGTTTACGGTGTAGGTTTAGGGTTTAGTATAGGGTTCAGGGTTTAGGGTTAGGGTTTTGGGCATGAGCTAAGGAACCAAAGCCCTGCTCCTGGAATGAGCCTTGCTTGCTTCGATTTGAATTGGGTTCAGGGGCTTTGGGGTTTCAGGGTTTAGAGTTTTGTGCCTTTTGGGGAGTGGATTGAGGATGCAAGGTTCAGGCCTAAACCCTAACCCTAAACCCTAGTGACTCTTCTCTCCGGCGGAGTAGGGACGCTGTACTTTCCCTTCTCTTTTTTGCGGCAACATTGGAATTTCGTAGGGCAGGGGCTCAATGAGGGCTGGGAGGGGACCACTCAGTCACTCAGGAAACCCTGAAGCTATTCCAGCCTCACCCCCAGGAGATGATATCCGCTAATCTCTTTGGTTGCAAGCCCTAAACCCCTAAATCCTGAACCCCTGAATCCTAAACCGTGTGGTTTGCAAAAATTAGGGGATCTCGGAGAGTCCCTAGAATATGGATTATGATAAATTGGGGTTTAAAACCCAAAGACCCTAAACCCCAAACTCCTAAACCTTAAGCCACCATGAAGTTTTGGGTAGGCCTAAACCCTAAACCCTAGACCCTAAACCGCGCTTTTTTTGGGAGCCCCCAAATGGCTCAAGTAGTGGTAATATTGTTTTTCTTCAGGTTGACATGTCAGAGTTTTTCCACGTTTAGGGTGGACGTTTCCAAAAACGGTGTTTTTTGGAAGGACCTTCCTATAACAGCGACTAATACGACACATTCAGGTCTGTTTCGAGAGCAATATAGCAACCCCGTGTGGGGAATTCTCGTAACATCCCTCACTGAATCCTTAACAGGGACCCGATAATACCTTTGTCGTCCGCAGATACCACCGGTGTCCCATCAATAAGTTCTTGTATGCAGTAAAGAGATATGTGCATATATATATATATACATATGTGTGTGTCTATAACTGTATGTGTATGGGTAGCTACTTCTACCGAAAACCCATGGTGTGTCAAGGACACGCATTATGCGTACGGCAACCAGACTCTGATTGCAGAGCTTCCCGGCAAGCTTTTCTGTGTACTTAGGAGGTTGGGGCGCAGGGTGAAAAAGGCAGTTTTCGGTCGTCCTGTCCATGGGAAGATTTGTTCAAGATTCAAGACATTATGGTGTCAGAATCCTAAAGGTGGAACGCCATAGAGATCCAATCTCAAAAGAGCCAAAGAGCGTCAATATGTTCTAGGGTTTCGGGTTAGACCTAACTTATACGTGGCAAGGTATGGATTTCACATTATCAGGGTGATTGTTTAGAAATGGCATTGTTGATGCTCGGCGCCATTGAAACATCAATCTTCCACAGTGGCATCAAGTAACCAGCGCCGTAGCTCCTATCCCAAAACTGGAGCCCATCAGGGCCCTAGATTTCACAGTTTATAGTGTTGCCAACGTCGCGTTGGAAAATTGGTTCTGGTGAAGTCCACCATGAATGGCACGCATACGATGGGTGCGGTCTAACCATGTGTTCTCATCCCTAAATAAGCCCGTCAACCCAGCATCCTCGAATCCCTTACTCCCTGGAGGTCAGTGGGGAATGAGGAATACAGATAAGATGCATGTTCACTTACTTACTTCCCCTCTGTCCACCAGTAACTTCAACGCTTGGACCATTGGCTTTGGGCTGAGAAAGGTGTATACGGAAGCTTCATCCCACAAGCACCCCCAAAAGCCTCCCATATCCCAGGGGCCGGTATAAGAGTGCTCCCAGGTCCAATAGAAGTCCGCCCCTCCATGCCTCCAAAAGCCTGAACATTAAAACCTTTAAGCCCTGAGCCTTCCCCTTCCAGTTTTGCAAAATGCAATATAATACCATTCTGCTTCCTTATGGGATTGAGGAATATAGCCACACATTAGCCCCCTTTTCAAATCTGTATAGTAGTGCTAGTACCTATTCCTTGATTCCTTACGAACCACCAAGAGGTACAATCTCCTTCGCATCCTGAAGCCCTAAGCCTTCAACCCAGCTCCTTACATAACCCAAACCCTCAAGCCTAAGCCAGTAAGTATATGTGGGGATTTCCCAAAAATTAGGGGTACCATTTTAGGGGTCCCCATAATAAGGATTATAGTAGATTGGGGTCTATATTGGGTCCCCTTATTTAGGGAAACTACCATATCCCAAAACCTAAAGTAGTAAGTATCCAAACCTTTAACCCTAAACTTTTGATCCCTGAGCCCTAAACCCCGACGCCCCTAACGCCGATAGGACCTCTTCAAAGGTACCCCATATAAGCTACCCTAAACCCTAAAACCCTAAAGCCTTAAGATACTAAACCCCAAAGCCCCAAAACCCTAAACCCTAAAACTCTAAACCCTACGTCCTAAACCCTAAACCCTAAATCCTAAACCTAGACCCTAAACCCGAATCCAAGTAGGCTTTCGAGATGGCTTAATTCTCAAGACAG